GTCACTCTGGGACCCTCCCCAGTGTCACTGTCACTCTGGGACCCCCGAAGTGTCACTGTCACTCGGAGAGCCCCGTGTCATTGTCACTCTGGGACCCCCGAGGTGTCATTGTCACTCTGTGACCCCCGAGGTGTCACTGTCACTCTGAGAGCCCCCAGTGTCACACGGTGTCCCTGTCCCTCTGAGACCCCCTGGTCCCTGTCCCTTGGGGTCCCCCGGGGTGTCATTGTCCCCTGGAATGCCGCGGGGGTGTCCTCTGTGTCCCCAAGGTCCCCAGGGTGTCCCGGGGTGATGTCCCCAGTGTCCGGGGTGATGTCCCCAATATCCGGGGTGATGTCCCCAGTGTCCAGGGTGATGTCCCCAAGGTCCGGGGCTGTCCCGGGTGATGTCCCCAGTGTCCGGGGTGATGTCCCCAAGGGCCAGGGCTGTCCCGGGGTGATGTCTCCATGTCCCCTGACCCCACCCGGTGTCGCAGGAGCTGCGCTCAGCCCTGCGCGACCCCTCCTTGCCCCGGGGTGATGTCCCCAATGTCCGGGGTGATGTCCCCAATATCCGGGGCTGTCCCGGGGTGATGTCCCCGTGTCCCCTGACCCCGGCCATGTCGCAGGAGCTGCGCTCGGCCCTGCGCGACCCCTCCTCGCCGCGGCGCCGCCCCGGGGCGCGGGTGCGGCTGAACCCGCTGGTGCTGCTGCTGGACGCGGCGCTGACCGGGGAGCTGGACGTGGTGCAGCAGGCGGTGGCAGAGGTGACACCGGGGACAGGGGACACTGGGGACAGCAGGGACAGCGGGGAGGGCAGTGGGAGCTGGACGTGGTGCAGCAGGCGGTGGCAGAGGTGACACCCAGGGACAGTGGGGACACTGGGGACAGCAGGGACGCTGGGGACAGCGGGGATGCTGGGGTCAGCGGGGACAGCGGGGACAGCGGGGACACTGGGGGGACAGGGGACACTGGGGAGGGCAGTGGGAGCTGGACGTGGTGCAGCAGGCGGTGGCAGAGGTGACACCGGGGACACTGGGGACACTGGGGACACTGGGGACAGCGGGGAGACTGGGGAGACTGGGGAGGGCAGTGGGAACTGGACGTGGTGCAGCAGGTGGTGGCAGAGGTGACATTGGGGACAGGGGACACTGGGGACACTGGGGAGGGCAGTGGGAGCTGGACGTGGTGCAGCAGGCGGTGGCAGAGGTGACACCGGGGACAGGGGACACTGGGGACAGCAGGGACACTGGGGAGGGCAGTGGGAGCTGGACGTGGTGCAGCAGGCGGTGGCAGAGGTGACACTGGGGACACTGGGGACAGCGGGGACACTGGGGAGGGCAGTGGGAGCTGGACGTGGTGCAGCAGGCGGTGGCAGAGGTGACACCGGGGACAGGGGACACTGGGGACAGCAGGGACACTGGGGGGTGTCCCGGGGGTGTCCCCGGTGGCAGTGAGGGGACAGCGGGGGTGTCCCGGGGCTGTCCCGGGGCTGTCCCGGGGGTGTCCCCGGTGGCAGTGAGGGGACAGTGGGGACAGAGGTTGGGGACAGCGGGGGTGTCCCGGGGGTGTCCCCGGTGGCAGTGAGGGGACAGCGGGGGTGTCCCGGGGCTGTCCCGGGGCTGTCCCGGGGGTGTCCCCGGTGGCAGTGAGGGGACAGTGGGGACAGAGGTTGGGGACAGCGGGGGTGTCCCGGGGCTGTCCCCGGTGGCAGTGAGGGGACAGCGGGGGTGTCCCGGGGCTGTCCCGGGGCTGTCCCGGGGGTGTCCCCGGTGGCAGTGAGGGGACAGTGGGGACAGAGGTTGGGGACAGCGGGGCTGTCCCGGGGCTGTCCCCGGTGGCAGTGAGGGGACACGCCGCTGTCCCCAGCTGAACGACCCGAGCCAGCCCAACGACGAGGGCATCACGGCGCTGCACAACGCCATCTGCGGCGCCAACTACGCCATCGTGGAGTTCCTGATCGCCAGCGGCGCCAACGTCAACTCCCCGGACAGCCACGGCTGGTGGGACACCGCG